TTTTTTTTTTTTTTTTTTTTTTTTTTGTATGAATTTAAAATTTCCATAAATTTTAGTTTTTCCTTTTACTTATATTGAAAACATTTTTCAATATAAATGTTTTACAAAGTAAATGTATTATATTGAAAATGTTTCCGTTGTAAATGTATTTATTGTTTATATATCATTGTTGTATATATTATCTTTCTTGTAATCGTTTTATTATTGTTCTTGTTTATTTAATTTTTTGTTACCAATTTTTCATATTTTTAAATACCGTTTAATTTTTTATAATATAGATATTAATTACATTATTTTAGCTTTTTTATATTATACAGTTTTGTTATTATTTATTTAATTAAATAGCATTTTACTATTTTTAATATAAATAATTATTATATTTAGTTATATAAAAATAAAATAATGAATAATACCTTAATATTTTTATTTTTACTTATTAATTATGGTAAAAATGTATATGGAGCAACATCAAATGTCAAAGATCCTATAGATGTAAGTTTTCTAAAAATTAAAAAAAGTTAATATTTATTATGTAAATGTAAATGTGTATATATAAATAAATTGTATCGTTTTAAATTTTGAATATTAATTTATATATGCTACATATTATACTGTTTTACACCATGTTATATTTTTGTATTTAAAATTCTTTTTTTTTTTTTTAGGAAAATGATGATCCATCAAATATAGATAGAAGATGGATGTTGTATGATTTAGAAACGAACCCATATTTAGATTTAAAACATCCTAATTTTAAGGGAGATTTTATAAGAAGTATAGATGAATATTATGTATATGAAACAAAAGAATATAATATGTATAAACAAACTAGATATGCTAATATGATGAATAACACAAGTTTTGAAAGAAAACAATTTAATTGTGTAATTAGCGTATTGCTTCATGGAAGACCCAATTCTAGAGAGTTTTATGATTATAAAATATGGAGTTCTCAAGCAGCTATAATAAAAGATGAAGTTATATCTAAACAAAAATATGGCAAATTTATTTTGTATGCTCCTTTTATTAGTCGCCTTAATTTTTTGGGTCATGGTGCTCTTCATACACATATTAATTTTGCATACCTAGTTGCTCTTAGATTAACAATGACTCTAAAAAATATTTCCTCTGATGATACATGTTATAATTATGATGTTTTTCTTCATGCGCATTGTTTTGGTGCCAATATATTAAGATTTATTTTATCTTTAAGTAATGATATATGGAAAATTAAAGACACTTCTCTCCTTGATTTAAATTCAGAAAGAACAGCATTGGCAATTTTAGAAGATAATTTTAAATTAACATTAAGAAATATAGATATTGTTACAAATAAAGATAGTATAAAACCCAATAAAGATCCATATTTTAGAGGTCCTAAATATTATTTATATAAAAATTTTCAAGTAGATTTGAGACATAAAGAATTAACAGAAAGTTTAGATGAAATATTTAATGATGAAAACGTTAATTACAATAATTTAAGTGATGATATGCTACAGGATACCAATATAAATTATATTAAAAGTGAGGATACAGAAAATCAAATAAATAGAGTAATAAAAAGATTTCATTTTTATTTATTAAATAAAAAAATTAGTCTGATGAATATTTCTGCAACTGGACCTCCACTAAGTGGTGTAGTATGGAACTTAGAAGATATTAAAATAGGTCATCAAAAGAAATTAAGATATAAATCTATTTTGAAAATTGTGCCATCTTTTGTCAAAAATAATATTACTAGAACTAGAGATGTTGAAGAATTAATGTATATTACTAATCCCAAATTACTCTGCCATTTAGCTGTAGAAGAAAAAGTAGATTATAATTACAATAAAAATAGAGGTTCACTAATTTCTTATTTTAAAAATGTAAATTATTACGCTGATTTAGATAATGATGAACTTGTAAGTATGTACACAAGTTTAGGTTTACATTCTCCTGCTCATATGAGATCATTAAGTTATTTTATGCTAAATTTTAGAAACGAATTTTATAATCGTATTTTTAAAATTCCTGTTCATTTATCTAACATAAATGTTTCTGATAATAATTACTTTATTAGTTATTTAGAAGAAAATGATGTTTGTTCATATGTGAAAAATAAATATTTAGAGTATTTTGTCTCCTATGTTAATGAACTAGTAAATTATAATCAGAAGCCAAGTCCTTATATTCCGCAAAGATATGCATACAAAAATCCATTTTTAGTACATTTTAAAGTTCCTGTAGATCAAAAAAATAATATCTATACATCTCATTCTATATTAGGTACAGGTAGAACTGCATTACTTTTATATTCATATGAACTTTATAAGCATTTATCAAGCAGTGGTTTAAATAATAACGATGTTATAAGAGGAGAATCAGAGTATTTTTATGACACTTATCCTTTTGTGTACTATAATTGGATGACATATATTGCAAATCAAAAAGATCGTAAAAAAGAAAATATAATGAAGGATGTACTTTTATATTCTGATAATGTAAATATGGATATTGTAGATAATCTTTTTAATGTTTTTACAATATTTCATTATTTGAAATTCTTCATTTTTCATAATAATGCTGAAGATGCCAAAAAAAATATATATAAAATGATTAATCAATTTTCCTTGCCAAATTTAAATAATATTTTTAAAAAAAAAGAAAAAAAGAAAATTGAATTTTCCATGTTAAAGAGAAACGAACTTAATAAACAAGAGAAATACTTATATGATTTCTTTGGAATTTATACGAATTTTTTAAAAAATTTTAGCAATAACAATGCATTTTCATACATTCCAGATGATGTATTTCTTATTAAGCATAGTACTTTTAAAGATCATCATAATAAAAATATTGATTCTTTAAAAGAGCAAATAAAAAATATTCATGATTTTGTAAAAGAGAATAAAACATTTTATGAAATGAAAAAAAAGTTAAATCTTATGTATAATATTGATAGAACGGATAATATAGTTGATGATGATGAAGACATAGAAGAATTGTATAAAGAATTTGAAAGTTATAATGACATTCAAAATTTAGATATTGATAATAATAATGAAGATTTTAATAATTCTGACAAAGGAACAGTAAATAATTATTATGGCATGTATTTTCATATTAAAAGAATATTAAATTTAAAAGATGCTTTTGTAAATATAAAACAAGTTAACTCATCATATAAAAATGTGCAATATGTAGAATTTGTAATTAAAAATGCAAAGTATGAAAATATAGAAGATAACCTAAATAATTTAGAAAATAATAATTATTGCTTGTTTAACTATGATGAAGAAATAGATCTTTCATATATAGTCCATTTTTGTAATTATAATCAACAAATATATTATAATTTATATAAGCGTTACACGAGTAATTCTATTTACGTTTTGGAGAAATTAAGTGACTGCGAGTTAGATAACTATAAGTATTTGAAGTTATGTGAAAACGCAATTCTTCTTAAAAGGTTTTTTCATAAAGAATTAGACGTAATTTTGTCGGAAGTACATAAGAAAGAACTAAGAAAAATGTATGAAATGAGAACATCTATAGAAAGAGGAATAAATGCAAGAAATATATTTTCATTAAGCAATGATTCTTTAGTTGCAGTACTGCACAATAAAAATGAAAATATGACAAATATTAAAATAAATGTATGTTTTAAGGTTTCAGATGTTTCAAAAAATAAAAATTTATTTTTTAAAGATAAGCTTCCCGAACCAGAATATGATTTTAAGGATAATGTGAATTCTATGAATAATTCAGTTTTTTGTACACATGTTAGTTTACCAGTTAAAATAAATACTCGATTAATTAAAAGTTTAAACGATATTTATTTGAGAGCAATTCGTTATATTTCAAAAGATAAACATTTTCAAAGTATTTTTAACATAACTGAAGATGAAGGGTCATACAAATCATTCGTATATTTTTTTGATAAATTTTCCTACGTTTATGATTTAAGAAGTACATATAAAAATTCAGAAGAAATAACATCATTTACTACTCCACAAAATTTTACATGGAAATATTTTTACTATTTATTAAAATATGATATAAATACTGAATTCAATAATGAAGAATTTTTACATAACTTTTTTTACGAAGAAGATAATGAAACAGTTAAACCTCTTAATGGAAATATTTTTGAAGACTTTTTAATGCATTTTACAGCATTCTTTTACATATTTAAAGTTAATTAAATATGAAATTTTTGCATTAAAAAGATAAAAGAGAATAATTTTTTAAAAATTTAAGATTTATTTTTTTTTTTTTTTTTTTTTTTTTCATTATATATAAATTTTTTAACTTTTTTTGAAATTTTAATTTTTTTTTTTTTTTTTACATTTTAGCTTTTTTCAATTAAAAAAAAAAAAAATAAAATAAAAAAAAATTTTGTCTGTGTTAATAAAATATCCATTTTTAATATATTAAAAAAAGTGTATTTATGATTGCTTTCATTATTTTATGTAAATTTTTTTAGAATTAATTATGAGTACTTATAATAAAAACTTTTTTTTTATTTAATTTTTTAGTTTTAAAAACTTTGTGATGCTATTGTATTTAAATAGAATGTCATTATAATTATTATTAATCTTTAAATAAATATTGTTATTTATTAAAAAAAAAAAAAAATACGTCTATTAAAAAACCAAAAAAAAAAAAAAGATAAAATAAATTAAATATAGATAGTATTATTTATTTAATAAAAAATCAAGTATACAAACCTATTAGCATTAAATATATTATATACATTTATAAAATTTTTTTTTTTTTTTTTTTTTCTAAAGATGCATTAGTTTTAATCTATAGAATAACAACAAATTAGTTCTTCATTTATATTTAATAATTTATTTTTTTTTATTTGTAATACTACGTTAATATTTCTTGAATGTTTTGTTTGAGGGGAGACATAAATGTTACCACATAAGTAATTTATTTGTTCTTTATTTATACAAAAAATATTTGAAATATTATAATTACAGCAATGCAAATGAAAAAGAGTTTGTTTCCAATGAGTTTTTTCTTTAAACATACTTGTTGTTAAAATATTATAAGTACTATGTGAGTTTATTATAGATTTCACTTCGTTTACATTTGATATGTTTTGATTAACGTTTTCATAAAATGTAGAGGTTTCAAAAATACAGTCAAAATAAAAGCATAAACTCGTTACTATTTTATCTTCTTTTATAGGAATTTCAAAATTAGAATTAATGTAAAAATTTTCTTTTCTATATGTATACAAGTTAATTGTTTCAAAATTAATTATTTCAGTAGATACTTTATTTTTGTCTACGTTCATTATTTTCACATTTTCCATGAAATTTTTCAAATTTGGTTTTAATTCCGATAAATCTTTGTTATATAATGGTTTTTCCCATATTAATATATTTTCATTTATATATTCTAAATCATTGTATCCACATATATATAAATTTATTTTATTCGGAAATATATAGCCATTTTCCTTTAAGTAAATATCCCTAGCATATAAAATAGTATTTATCATACATTCATAAAATAAAAAATATCCCATCCATTCCGATATAATAATATCAAATTTTAAAAGTTTTAACTGAACATTATTAATTTTTTGAAAATTTTCAATATCTTCATTTTTACTTAAATAATATATCTGTTCTTTTTCATCTATATATATATCATTATCTTCTAATTTTCCTTCAAATAAAAAAATATTTTTTGCTTTATTTTTTTCTGCTATTTTCTTTGCTTTGTTTAAAATTTTCTTTGCGTTATCTATACCAACAACAATGCTTGCATAGTCTGAACAAAACAAAGAAATTATAGATGATCCACATCCTATATCCAGAACTACTTTATTTTTAAATATTTCTTTATTTTTATATATAAATTCATAGTAGCAGTTAGTCCTACTTTTATCTAAAATCATTGTTCTGTGTATGCTTGTGTAATTATAACTATCGAAATATTTTTTATCTACTTCTTTTACATCATTATTGTATATATTAATTGTATTTATATTTTTAATATTATCTATTTCATTATGTTTTAATTTATTTTTTTCATTATTTTCTTCATTATTTTTTTCATTATTTTTTTCATTATTTTCTTCACTATTTAATTCCATTTCTGTTTCTTTTTTATCAAAATTTATTTCTTTAATCTCTTTATTATTAATTTTTTTTTCTATTAAATCTCTCTTTATTATTTCATTCATCAAATGCTTAATAATTTTTTCCATACCATTTATTTTTTTGTGCAAATTATTTATTTCCTCATTCTCATTTTCATATGTTTTTACAAATTTATTAACTAATGAATCTCCTAAACTATTTTTCATTATTTTATCAGAGGAATTACATTCATTATCTTTACTTACAATAGAATCTATTAAATGATTTAAATTAATATTATTTAAGTTCAAAAAGACATTCTTTTCTTTTTTATCAATTTTTTCTATATTTTCCATAATAAATTTCTTATTTGGTATATCTTCTTTCATTTTGTTATAAATAGATATCCTCAATGTTTCCTTTTCATTAGTTAATTTATTATTTAAAAAATTTGATTCTTCTTCTAAAACGCTTGGTTTATTTTCATTTAAATGTTTTAAAAATGAATTTGAGAAACTTTCATTATTGTTAAGCTCTTTCTTATTTGTTATATTATCATTGTCTACATCATCATAAATAGAAGATTTTTCTGTAGATGAAGAAACAGAGTTTTCTTCACTAAAACTAAATGTATCATCATTAGAAGAATTTTCTAAAAGATTATTCATTTTATTTTTAATTTTATCTTCTATAAAAAAATAATTATCATTATTGTTATTACAATTTTCTTTGAATTTCAAGTTATGTAATTCAAAATATTCTTTATTTATATCCCATAATAATTTATCGTTATTTATAACTGGTTTTAGAAAATAATTTAAATGTTTTTCAAAATTTGGGAATAAAGAAATAATATCATATTTTAAAAACAAATCATGGTATTTTTTCACATCCAAATTATTCAATTGGCACAACCTTAAAAAATTAACAAAAATAATATTTTTATATTCATCTTTAAAATATAGTATATTAATATTTTTATTTATCATATGTATTACAACATTCTTCGTTTTTCTACTTTTGTAATCATCACATAAACTATAAGCATATTCATCATTTTCAAAACACTCTTTCCTTTTAATTGTCAATTCTGCTTCATAACTATTTATTATATTTTCTATTGTTTTAAATAATTCTTTTAGTTCCTTATTTTCTGTATTCATCTTTTAATACATAAATAAATATGTGTTCAACTTATAAAAATAATTTAAAATTTTCTACTATCAATTAAAGAATATTAATGTAGTAAATCATATTTACGCATAAAAATCAATGTTATTATAAATATAGATATTTATATTTTTTTAAATATTGTGTTCTATAATAGCTTCAGTTAATCAAAACTGAAAAGAATATTAATAAAATTCTAAATTTAAAATTAATAAATATGATAAGTAATTTTTTTAACCAATTGTGGGTTTAAATATAAAATATAGAAAAAAAAACTTGTTAATATGTTTATAATTTAATTCAAAATGAAAAAAAAAAAAAAATTTCCTTAAAATTAATTTTAACAAAACTAAATATATTAATTTAAAAGGTTAAATTTTTATTGATAAATTTTTTTTTTTTTTTTTTTTTTTTTTTATATTTTAATAT